CCCCGCTGGGAACTGGCCTGCAACCCAGGCATGTGCCCTGACTGGGAATCGAACCGCGATACTCTGGTTCGCAGGCCCGCGCTCAATCCACTGAGCTATGCCAGCCAGGGCAAGAGAATTTTTATAAGAGCCAAATTGACAACAGATGTCAGGGAACAAGATTTCAGATGCTCCCCAGAATTTCCTTGTTAAGGCTGAATAGTATTCCATTGTATGTATATACCACATTTTGTTTACACAGTCATTAATTGATGGATTATGTTTTGTTTTCACTTTTTGGCCATTGTGAATAATGCTGCTGTGAACATGGGTGTACAAATATCTGTTGAAGTCTTTTTCAGTTCTTTTAGGGATGTGTTTAATATTTTTGAGAAACAGCCCTGGCTGGCATGGCTTGGTTGGAGTGTCGCACCATAACCAAAGGGTCGCCAGTTCAGTGTCTGGTCAGGGCTCATTTGCAGGTTGCAAGGGCGAGGCAGCCGATTGGCGTTTCTCTTTTGCATAGACGTTTCTCTATCTCTCTCCCTTCCCCTCTCTGTCAAATGAGAATACAATAAAACCTTTAACAATATATTTTTGAGGAACAGCCATACCGTGTTCCACAGCAGCTGCCCATTTTACATCCCCATCGCACATCCCAGTGCATGGGGGTTCCAGTTTCTCCATGTCCTCACCAATACTTATTTTCCTTTAAAAAAAAAAGAGAAAGAAAAAACTACTCTGATGGGTGTGAGGTGTTATCTCATTGTGCTTTTGATTTTCATTTCCTTAGTGATTAGTCATGCTGAGCATCTTTTCATGTGCGCATTATTGGTCATTTGTGTATCTTTAGAGAAATGTCTGTTCTGTCCTCTGCCTGGTTTAGAATTGGGTTAGCTTTGTTGTTGTTATTATTGAGTTGTAGGTGTTCTTTATATATTCTAGATATTGGTCCCTTGACAGATATGTGATTTGCAAACATTTTTTCTCATTCCATGGTTTGTGTTTTCTGTGTCCTTTGCACAGAAGTTTAAAAAAAATTATGGAGTATAATTCCTCTATTTAAAAAAATTATGTGTGCTTTTGGTGTCTTTGAATTTGTTTTTAAGATAGAAAAGAGCTCAGTGGGTCTCCTGTTGGGGATTAGAGGTAGGTTCATTTATAACCCCTGAAGTCCGCCCCCCACCATCTCCAGGGTGCACCAAGTCTGAGGTGAGAGAGCAGCTTTGATTTGACAGTATCACTTGCTGCTAAATAGGTATTGATCTTGCACTGAAGCAAGACCACTTCTTACCGTTTACGTGTTACACATGGTACAAGAAATATGCACAAGGATGTTTGCTGCAGCATAGCTTATAACTGAACATTGGGATCCACTCAAATATTCCAGTGTAGGGGAATGTTTAAATCAATGGCAGTTTCTAAGGCAGAATATCATACAGTAGAGAAAACAGAAGGAACAGAATCAATAATGCAGTTAGATATCCAAAACCATCTGCCCAGTCGAGAAAACACAATTGCCAAAGAATATAAATGATGTAAAAATAAATACTATGCATTTTCTCAGGTGTGTTTAAGTCTGCATGCAGACACTGCATGGAAGTGTCTGTCCTGAAGAGTAACTTACCTCCGAAATGTGCAGATGGGACCTGTTCTTGTAGTGAGGTGGCAGCTTCAAACTTGATTGTCTAGCTTTAAATATACACACGCATGCACACACACCTATATTAATGTCCTATCTATTAATTTTGTCATTTGTGTTACTGCTGGGCCTGTTTCCATTGATTGATTTTTGTCCTAATTCTGGGTGGTAGTTTTCTGTCTTGGCATGCCTGGTAAGTTTCAGCTAGATGACAGATACTGTGAATTTCTGTGAATTTTACCTTGTGGCATACCGGATACTTTTGTATTTCCTCTAAATGTTCTTGAGCTTTGTTCTAGGATACAATTAAGTTACTGGAAACAGTCATCCTTTCCAGGCTTGCTGTTCAATTTTGTTACTCAGGACCAGAGCAGTCTTTATTCACAGGGCTCATGTCCCCTGACGTCGTCATGAAGTTTTTCCATTCCAGCTGGTGGGAACACCAGGCATTTTAAGACCGGTGTGAGCGGTGAGCGTTGGTCCCTCTGATCCTTTCCAGTAGCCCTGTCTCTGCGGTCTCTGACCTCAGCTTGTGTGTATGCCCATCACTCCTCAGATGCTCAAAATATCTTTGGACCTGGAGGTTTCGCTCCCTCGCTCCCCCTCCCTTTTCCTTCTCCTGTCCACTCCCCTTTGTCTTCTTCCTCCAAGTACCCTGCCTCTCCCTTCCCTCTTGCTCCCTCTCCTCCAAGTATCTGGGGCTCCACCCTGCAGATTGTAGCCTCCTTACCCTTTCTAGAACCTCAGCTTTGACTGAACTATATGTCTGAAAACTGTTATTTTTACATATTTTTCTCAGTAGTTCCAGACAGGAGGGTAAATCTGATTTCCATGGATCCGTTTTAGCTAGAAGAAGTTGTTCTGATGTTTTTTGAAGGAAGCATGCTCATGTTTTAAAATACAGTTTAAGTTAGCATGTTTTGAGCCCTTCTTAGGCACCGTGCCTTTCATGCATATTGTTTCCTTTCTTCCTCCTTGTGAAATGGGTGTTACCATCACTCCCATGTACAGAGGATGGAACTAAAACTCAGAGAGGGTGGGTGATGCACCCCAGGTCACCCAACCAGTGAGCGGGGGAGGAGCAAATCTAGCCATCTAGCTCTAGCCACCATCCGTGCAACTAAGGGCTACATTTTTAAAATTGAGATTAAACTTATATAACCATTTAAAGTATACAATTTAATGACATTTGGCACATTTACAATGTTGTATAACTACTACCTCTCTCTTGTCCTGGACATTTCTATCAGCCCAAAAGGAAACCCGACCCTCTGAGCAGTCTCACCCCTCCCGCAGCCCCTGGCAACCGCTCATCAGTTCCCTGTTCCCGTGAGTGTGTCTGTTCTGGGCATTTCACAGAGACGGAGTCACACACTGCGTGGCCTTCCATGTCTGGCTTCTGTCCCTCAGCATAACACTTTCAGTTTTCGGCCATGTGGTAGCCTGTGTTAGTGCTTCATTTCTTTTTGCGACTGCATACTATTTCACTGTGTGGGTAGCCCACATTTTGTTTATTTATCCTTTCATCCATTGATGGACACTCTTGGACTTGAAACCAGAAAAGCCGGCGTTCGGGCTGCCTGTCACCACCACAGCAGTGGGACAGAGAAGGGACCGGATCTATGTGGGCGTTGTATTCTGATGGCCGGGGATCCGAGAAGACCGTGGGTTATGTGCTGTAACAGGCCGTCTTACATTTCATTTTAAACCGACCCTTTTTATAAGGAGAAGAAATGAGTAGGCAAGGGGTTTGGAATTCAGGGAAAAAGTTAATCAGATAAAGCCTGCAGCATTCTTTCACTGGTGTCCTGGGTAGTGGTCATCTCTCCATGGAGCACAATGGCTCAGATATGTCTTGATTGCTTGCAGTCTTCCTGGGGCACAAAGGTGGTACTGTTTATGGTCTCCTGGAGTCAGGGTGGGTCACACCTTCAGTTCCTGGAACAGGAGTTATTTACATGCATTGATTACTAAGCTTATTAGCTATTACCTAAACTAAATTTTTCTAACTCTTGAGTCCCCCATCAGACTGTCTTTATTATTTGGAGATTGCGAGTAGTGAGGAGCTACTTTTAAATGTAGGAAAGGATGAAAAGGAAAGAGAGTCCCAGCTAGCAGCTAGTCTGAGCCCCATTTACTGTTGAGGAAGGTGAGACCCCTCAGGAGGGTCCTGTACATTTGCAGAGTCCCTGGGTCTCTGTTTGTTCTCAGTCCACGTTGAGCTGCTCCGTTGTTCAGCTGACATTCAGGAGCACCTACTGTGTGTGTGTGTCCCGTGCAGTGGCAAGGATGCTCTCATAGCCCGAGAGATTGTGCAAAGGGAGCTGGGCTTCCAGAAGTCTTCTCAGGATGGGAAGCCAACTGAAACATGAAGGCTAAGGAGGAGTCAAATAACCCGAAAGTGAGGGAAAAGAGCATGCCCTTCAGAGGGAACAGACAGTGCAAAGGCTCTGAGGCAGGATTGTGCCCGGTATGAGGGAGACCTTGTGCTGAAGGGGACTGAGCAGAAGGGTGATGAAGGGAGAGGAAGGCAAGGAGATTAATGGCATCCAGACCCTGTAGGGCTTTCTGTGCTGATATTTCATATCCACGAGATGCCAAATGGGCCCTGGTTTGTGTGGCTCAGTGGACTGAGCAGTTGCCTATGAGCCGAGGGGTCACAGATTCGATTCCCAGTCAGGGCACATGCCTTGGTTGTGAGCCAGGTTCCTTGGGGGGGGAGGCGGCATGCAAAAGGCAACCACACACTGATATTTCTTTCTCTCTCTTTCTGCTTCCCTTTCCCTCTCAGAAAGCCAAATGGTTCAGGGTAGCCAAATGGTTCAGGGTAGCTTTAGTATTAGCTAAATTATGCATAACAGAGTTCCTTCTTCTAGTTTTAGATCTTTCAAGTCCTGGCTCAAGGTCTCCTCCAAAATCATCAAATAGTTCTTTAACTCTTGTGTAAGACTACCCAGCAGTTCTGAGTCTTGACCCTGGATCTGGGTCTTGCCATTCAAAAGCAAACAAAGTTGAGAGTCTTGGTTAACCAGAATGCAAAGACATCTTTAAAATCCAGTACTGAACAGCAGAGGCTGGCCCTGGGCATACTGCTCTGTACAGTGTCATTTATGGCTTTTAAAATCTCGTGCAGAGAGCAGCAGGGCCAAATGAGTTTGTAGTCCTGAAACTTGGGCATCTGAAAGATTGAGTATATTCTTTCTAGGGTATGTTTTCACAGGGATGCTACCTCTTACTGGGAGTCACTGCCCCTGGTTTGAGGTCACCTTTAACAGGGGAGGCTTGCTTAGCCCTCCCTGGCCTTCCGGCCACCCACATGATGGGGTTTTCCTGATCCTCAATTTCTTCTGGCCAGGGTTGCTTTTTTCCTTCTTCCCAGTGTTTCATCAGGAACTGCCAGGCTTGTTCTGGAGAGACCTGTAGGTGGAGCTGTTGTTCTTCTGGAGAGAAAGCGATCTGAGCACCAGTTTCAGCTACTGCAAAGAGAAAAACTATCTTCCACAGCACATTCTAATGGCTTCCAGAAAAACTGGCTTTCAGGGCTTCCAGAAATTTCAGGTACAGTTCAGTTAGAGGTCTGTTGACCATGGAATGTGTTGCTGCAGTGTCAGTCAAAAAGGTCTACAATTTGTATTCCCACTGTCAGTGTTGCCCGAGTTGTCAGACTTGACCTTTGCCCTGGCTTGGGGCACTCATCTTTCCAGTGCCCTTTTCCAAATTGATTTGCCAAGCAAAACTCAGGCGTATCCAGGAAACTTCAAGTGAATGGTGGTCTGTCCGAGTTTCTGGGGCCATAGAATCACTCCAATGTGCAGAAGCTGGGTAAATGTTCGTGAAACTGGGGAGCTGAAATGGTGATCACAGATCTGAAACCTCCAGCACTTATCTGGGGCTTGGTGGTGTGAAAAGCGATACAGTCAACTAGGAATGTGATGGATGCTGGTGGGCCTGCACCAGCTTTGTCTCTGAGTCCGCAAAGCCTTGAAAGAATGTCTTCTCTGATCCTGTTGCACAGGCTGAGAAGGTGAGGCTTAAATGGAAAGGGAACACAAAGAATAAGAACATGAATAACCAAGAAAACTGACCATGGGAGAAATAAAATATTTTACAAAGTTTCTCTTTAGTATATTTTAATGTTTTCAAACCAATTTCACACAAAGTATAACCCTCTCACCCCCACTGCCAGCCGTCTGTCCATCCTGCTGTCGGATTTCTCTAGGAGTCCTTCCTGGTCTGGCATGTCAGTGGACGCGGTGAGAGGGATGGGGTTCAGTTCTTGGTGTTGGAACATGAGACTCCCACACACACACAGTCACACTCCCATCACACCCCACCTGTCCTCCAGGTGCCCGTGTTTCCAGGTGACCTGATGCATCCTCTTTGGGGAGCAATTTGGAATCATCTGTCAGTGAAGAGGGACCTGCTTTGCAGGCATCAGACACTCTCTGGCGTAAACCACAGTGACTGGGTGTGCAGTTGGGACCATGTGGAAAGCAGAGCCAAGGCACCCGGATAAGGAAATCCTGAAGCCTCTGCAAGAGCGAGGCCAGTCACACAAATGCCTGCCCTGGGTACTGTCCGCCAGTGGTAGCATTTTCAAACCACTGCCTGAGATCTGAGAATAACATGAAATAGCCCTACTGATCATCATTATTTGGAGTATTAATTTTACTGTGAAGAATGCCCAGATTTTCATATCGAGCTGAAAGAAATCTTCATCCTCAAATGTCTCTGCCTACCTGTGGGTGCCGGGCTGGCAGGATCACTGTTCCTGCAGTGAATCACACCTGGTTCTGGGCCAGCCAGGTGGTTGGCTCTGCCCGGAAGGAGTGAATATCTGGATCCTTGGTGGAGAGCATCAGCGTTCCCCCAGAAAGGTGCATGCAGTTACCCACAGCCCATTTCTGTATGATTCATGACATTCTTAAACCACCTCGTACCCAAGATGATCAGAGGCTCCACAAGGGGTTGGGGAGCCGCTGTAAATGTGTACTGAGGTCCTGCTGTGTGCCGTGCACCGAGTCTGCAAAAGTTCTTATTGGGTGTAACAGAGGGGGAGGTGTAATCACTGAAAGAGTAGTAGCAGTAGGCAACATTATGTGAGCATTGCTTGGAACTCTCAGTTTGAATTTGTTCATTTAATTAGTAACCACCTTGTGAGGTAAGTGCTTTTTATCCCCATTTTACAGATGAGGAAACTGAGACAGCTTAAGTAACATGCCCAAGGTCGCACCGGCAGGGTTCAGACCTCCAGAAGCTAGCTCCAAGGGCCACAGCATCACACCCCTGCCATGCGTGGGCATGTAGATAGAGTTTGAGGAGAGTAGGTGGGGTAGAGGGTGAGCAAGGAGCTTCGGGGTGGGCCAGCACACTTGCCTGCCCACTCTGCCCAGAGTCAGGAGACCCTCCTGTTTCTGAGGATGGATCAGTTTATCCCCAGGGGACAAATCGTCCCGCAGCTCTCACCTGATGCCATGACACTTCCTGTCATGCTTTTAGGAGCTGGAGAAGCTGGGGCTTGGCGACAGCGTGGACCTGCACGTCTATGAGATTCCAGTCGAGTACAAGACAGTTCAGAGGCTCATCCCTGCACTGTGGGAGAAGCACAGCCCACAGGTGAGCGGGGCAAAGGCAGGGGCTGCTTCCCCCTCAGGACCTGCAGGTGGGCGCCCCCACCAGGGTGACTTGTGCGGCTTTGTTCTTGCTTTGATCACATGTTATCAACATTTTAAAAAATCACTAATGAGACATTTTACATCTTTTCGTGCCCAATCTCCAAAATCTGGCATATTTTACACTGGACGGGACATCTTGACTTGTACCAGCCACATGTCAAGTGCTCAGGAGCCACGTGTGACCCGTGGCTGCCTGCATTGTAAATGTTCACATGTTTTCTTACAATGCCCCTTCTGTTCATAAGTACACACACCAGCCCTGGCTGGCACGGCTCAGTGAATTGAGCGCCGGCTGCAAATCAAAAGGTTGCCAGTTCGATTCCCAGTCAGGGCACGTGCGTGGGTTGCAGGCCAGGTCCCTGGTAGGGCGGGTGGGAGAGGCTATATCACAGTGATGTTTCCCTCTCTTTCTCCCTCCCTTCCCCTCTCTCTGAAAATAAATAAAATCTTTTAAAATTAAAAAAAGTATACATGTCAGTAATTGATAGTTGAAATGACACTGTATCCAATATAATATCTTACTTTTTATAAATATTTTATCATAAGCATTTAGTCACCTTGGTCCTTAAAAATTCTCCCTAAACATTATTTTAATTGATGGGTAAGTTTTAGTAATTAATATATTAATATAACCATCCTCTTATTATTGGGCATGCCACTCATTTCTGTGTTTTTTCTCATTTTTATAAATAACACCGAAGTCACCACTGAGAGATTATTACATCTTTGATTATTTTTAGGTGAGATTCCTACAAGTTATACCTCATCTTTTACATTTGGCAATATGTCTTTTTTAAATTATTTACCTTTAGAGAGAGGGGAAGGGAGAGACACATCAGTGTGTGGTTGCCTCTCACACACTTCCTGCTGGGGCCCTGGCCTGCAACCCAGGCACATGCCCTGACTGGGAATCGAACCGGTGACCCTTTGGTTTGCAGGCCGGCCCTCAGTCCACTGAGCCACAGCAGCAGGGCTGGCAATATGTCTTGAAGGTCACTCCTTGTTGAACTGCTTTGGGCATTTTAACAGCTACATAGTAGTTCATGATGTTTAACCAACCCCCACAAATGCCTAATTATGTTGTTTCCAGTGTTTGATTGTATCAAAAGCTGCAGTGGCTCTGGTCAGTTGGTTGGGGTGTCATCCCAATTCACCAAGTTTGTTGGTTCAAACCCCAGTTAGGGCACATACAAAAATCAACCAGTTCATGCATAAATAAGTGGAACAGCAAACCCATGTCTAAAAAGATTTATTTATTTTTAGCGAGGGGAAGGGGGAGAAAAAAAGGAAGAGAAACATCTGTGTGGGGACACTCGAGCCACCCACCTACTAGGATCTGGCCGACAACTCTGACATGTGCCTTGACTGGGAATTGAACCAGGACCCTTTGGTTTGCAAGTCGGCACTCAATCCACTGAGCCACACTAGCCAGGGCCAATGTTTCTCTCTCTTAAAAAAAATATAAGTTTTTTTTTTTTAAGCACAAACAAAAGCTGCGGTAAACATCTTGCATATCTCGTGTTCCTGCATGTTTTACCCAGCATGCCTTTCTGCAGCAGTGACTGTAGGGCCTGTTCCAGCAGCCAGAGGTCAGAAACGGTGTCATGCCAGGTAGAGCCCAGTGAGAACGCCACCTTCTCCTTGACCCGAGGGGTCCCCTCATCCCATGGACAGACCCCGTAAAGTCCTGTCTGTCTGTTTGCAGCTAGTGGTGCATGTGGGTGTGTCGGGCATGGCCACCACAGTCACACTGGAAAAGTGCGGCCACAACAAGGGCTACAAAGGACTGGACAACTGCCACTTTTGCCCCGGCTCCCAGTGCTGCGTGGAAGACGGGCCCGAAAGCATCGACTCCATCATCGACATGGACGCTGTGTGTAAGAGGGTCACTACGCTGGGCCTGGATGTGTCGGTGACCATTTCGCAAGATGCCGGCAGGTAGGGCACCATGGGGTGGGTGTGAGCAGGGGTTCCCCCTCCACCAGGTTGGTGCTGAGCAAGTCAAGTGTGTTGGCTTTGGCCTCAGTGGACTGAGCAGTCACCATGCCTAAGCTACAGAGCAAAGTACCTACACCTAACAGGTCCCACTAATTCTGCTTCCGAAACTCATTTTGTGGGGCTCTGCCCACTTCTCCCACCCAGGCCCCTGCCACCTCCCAGCAGGACCCTGCTGCGGCCTGGTCCCTGGCGTTCCTCCTGCCACCTCTGCCCCAACCCTGCCTGCTCCCTCCAAGCAGTCTGTTTCTGTACTAGTTTCCTGCGGCTGCTGTAACAAAGCCATGAACTTGGTGGCTTAGGACAACAGACATGTGTTCTCTCCCAGTGCTGGAAGCTGAAAGTCCAAAATCAAAGTGTCGGCAAGTTTGTGCCTTCCTGAGGCTCTGAGGGAGAATCTGCCCCTGCCTCTCTCCTGACCCTGCTCTGCTGGCTGCGAGCAACCCCTTGCGTCCCTTGGCTTGTAGATCTGCAAAAGCCCCATATCCAAATAAGGTCTCATTCTGAGGTTCTGAGTGAACGTGAATTTGGGAGGGAAACTAACAAGGTCTTTTATAAATTTAAATCAGATGCTGTCCCTTCCTTACTTAAATCCCTCCTAAAGCTCCCCACTGCACCTGGAACCAAATCCCACCATCCTTAGGCACTGTGCGGTCTGGCCCCACCCACTCCTCCACCCACATCGGCCTCCATCCTCTCCTTCCCCACTGCCTCCCTGACCCACGTCCCTCACACCCACTCACTCTCTCCTCAGGGCCTTTGCCCTTGGTGTGGCCTCTGTCCAAATCTGCCTCCCTCTGACGAGGCCTCTTCAGTTCTGGGCTCCAGCCTGTCGCCTCCTCAGGGATGCCTCCTCGACCTCCCAAACCAAGCCGTGTCCGCTCCTGCTCCCTCTCGGCAGCAGCACCAGGCGCCTTGATTCCTCAACACTCCTTACCCTTCTCCAGCCCAAAGGCAGCAGATGACAGGTTCAGTTCACTGACTGAATGTAGGAGTGACTGAATTCGCCATCAGTCTCTTTGAGTTTTAAATTGCACAGATAATTCTGGAATATGTTCTCATGTGTTCCCATTGTGCAAAATTTTCTTGCCATCTCTGCTTGCCCCTAGTGATCCCTCTGTGAAATAAGACAAATTATGAAACCTCCTGTCCCCTACATGTTTTCATACACGGAGAGAACACTTGGCGTGCTGCTTCAGGATTCTGGCCTGTTTTGCTCTGCTTTGCGTGGATGGGGTTACGTGGCGCAGGTTTCCCTGAGTGTTGTGGACACGTGACTGGGGCGTGGCGAGTTCTGTGCCTTCCTCTGGCTTCCCCGCAGGCCTTGTAAATGACTGCATGGTATCCCGCTGTGTGGACAAACTGGAGTTTATTAAGCCATTCTTCTGTCAGCGGACCTTCAGCTTGTGTCTTAGTCGGTTTGAGCTGCTAGAACAAAATGCCCCAGAAGTGTATCGTTCACAGTTCTGGAGGCTGGGAAGTTCAAGGTCAAGGCCTCAGCTTGGTTGTGTTCTGACCAAGGCCCTCCTCCAGGTAGCTGCCGTCTTGTTTGCTGTGTCCCCACGTGGTGGGAAGGGCAAGAGAGCTCTCCGGGGTCCCTTTTATGAAAGGTGCTCACCCCACTGACAAGGGCTTTCACTTCTCGAAGACGCCCACCTCTTCATGCCATCACCTTGAGAGTTTGGGCTTCAAAATACGGATTTTGTTGGGGGGAAGGTCAGACATTCAGTCCCTACCAGGTTGCTTCCTGCTCTCCTGCTGTTACACGCTGTACAGAATGCCTCAGCCCACACTTTATCTTTCTTGGGCACCTGTGCAAATGGTGCTGAAGGTTGAGTCTAAAAACCAGAATTATCAGTTTGTAGAGACCTCACATTTGTAATTTGCTGGCCTGCCAAACTGCCTGCTGTGGGGCAGTTTGCATCCTGGCTAGCAGCTCCTCACACTGGCCGTTTCCCCACATACACACCCACACTGGGAATTATCAGATTTTGAAAAATTTCTGCCAACCTGCGGGGGGAGAAGCAGTATTCCTTCCCTCTTGTGGATTTCTGGTGAGGTCGGGTGTCCTACTGGGGGTTTGGATGGAGCCTCTCCTGTTAGGCTGACCCTGTGTTGATGTCTCTTCTGCTCCCCATGCACTGCGGCTTAGGTACCTCTGCGACTTCACCTACTACACCTCTCTGTACCAGAGTCACGGCCGCTCAGCCTTTGTCCACGTGCCTCCCCTGGGCAAGCCGTACAACGCAGACCAGCTGGGCAGGGCCTTGCGGGCCATCATTGCGGAGATGCTGGGTGTCCTGGAGCAGTCAGAAGGCAAAATCAACTGTCACCACAAACACTGAAAGTCACTCAGGCTTCCCAAGACCTCGTCCCACCAGGGACCCCAGGAGGAGACAAACCTTTCAGCTGGGAATCTAATTCGGATCAAATATTTTGATTTGCATACCTCCTCTCCCTTTTCCTCCACAAGAGCACTGATCGACCTGAAGGAGGTGCCTGAAGATTTTTTTCTCTGTTTCCCTGTGCATCTGGGGAGGTGGCCGGGATGTCTGGGAGGCCGGGCTGTCAAAAATCCTGCCCGGGCGGGCGTCTGCTCTGCAGTGTCACAGCAGGGGCCGCCCGTGTGCCCGCTTTCCTGGGTCTCTGGGAGGGATTCCGGAGTTTCCTCCGTCTCTTGACTCATTTCTCGAAAACTTCAAAACCTCTCAGAGAGTCTTTGCCCAGATCAGTGTCCCAACAGCTTGAGCAGCCCCAGAAAGGACCGCTTTGGGATGTGGCATGGCTTTCTTTCTTTCTTTCTTTCTTTTGAATTCTTACTCTTCTTTTTAAAACAACAGTGCTAGTTTGGGCACCAAGTAATTTATATTCCCTTTGGTTGAAACGCAGGCTTTAGTCCACAACAAAAGTGTCTTTTCTTTTTCCTGGGGTGCGGCCCCTCCTGCCTCCTACCTTAAGACTGGACCTCCATGTTTGTTTGAGGACTGACATTGAGGTGACATTGAGGTCCCCTTGCTTGGGGTGGTCAGTCAGGGCCCTCACCAGGCCACAGGGGAGTGGGGTCTGATGCCCTGGGAGGTTGAAAGTGTTGGCTGACCCTTTCAACACCCATGCCATGAGCTTGGGAGCAGGGCCACCAGGGGGAAAGTACACTTCGATGTGCACAGGACTTTTTCTTTTTAACATGTAAAAACTTGTAGCAGCTGCAGACCCACTCTGCACCTGGCCTGGACTGTCACAGCTTCGGTGCTAGGGACTGGCTTCTGGTTTCCCTAAGGGGGGTGCCTGAAGCAGGGCCTGGAGGCCGGAGTCTGCTGAGCTCCGTGTGTGCGTTTGAGCAATAGGGCAGAGGGGCAGTCAGCGGGCTCTTGTGTAGATGGTTTTTCGGAGAGTCACCCAGAATCTCCCTCCCTGGCAACTTTGAACTTCCCAGCCAGGGGTGAAAGTGATGCTTCCCAGGAGGCAGCCATATCCAGCTGGACCTTGATACCCTCAGGGGAACAGGACAGCAGCAGCCGCAGCAGCCAGGAAGCCAACTGAGGAAAACACACATTCTGGAAGTATTCTATTTTTTTTCTTGGAGAACATTCGGCTTTATCCTTTCCTTAGGTGTGAAGTGTGCCAGAATCTGATGCTCTCTTGGATCATGTCGGTGATTTTTTTGTTCATTTTTCTTAAAAGAAAAAGGAACACCTGACCGGAGTGGTTCCCGCCTCTGCTGAGCTGCTGTGTTGACTGGGGACCAGTTGGGTTTCTGAGTTAAAGGCTTTTTATGAGCCTGGCACTTTCTTTGGAGGGGGAAAGTGGGCACAGGTGGAAGGCTTGCGGTGGGTGCTTGGCAGGGGGTGTGGACTGTGGCCAGTAGGTTGAAGTGCTCGGGCCTCTGCTCCCCTGTCCGTGTCAGCTCTGCCTCGGCCAGAAACCCCCCCTCCACGTCCCCAGTCTGAGTCTGTGGTCTGAGAAATCTGGGTATGTAGCATGTCAGTGCATCTGCTCCCTCCGCGGCTTCTATGAGCAGAAACTGGCTTTTTTGAATGTGGGGGTGCTCAAGGCCAGGGGAGGGGTCCCCCAGGAGTTCTGTTCATAACAGCAAGCTCCGTCTAGCTCTGTTCCCCAAAGGTCTGATCCTTGGGCTCTGAGGAGAAAATGAATCTAGGTGAGATGGGGGGGTTGAGGGGCTGGAAGTGAGCCAGGTGCAGAGAGCCTGGCACCTGCTGGAGCCCGGCAGCCTCCGCAAACGCCGTGTTTTCATCTTTTTTTTGTCCTCACTTTGCCTCTCCGTTTAAAGCGCCCTGCAGTCAGCAACTTAGACATAACTTACCGCCTGAGTGCTGCTGAGGGTGTGTGTGTCGCTTTGTGTCCTGTGTGTGTCGCTGTGTGTCCTGTGTGTGGGGTTTCTTCCTGGCGGACCCAGGCCTGTCCTTTTCCACGATGCAGAGCATTCGGCTCATTTTATTTAGTCAGACAGCCATTAAATATTTCAGTCGCTCCCTGCCGGCTTTTTATTTTTTCCGTTTTGAGTTTTTAAATCTTTTTCTTTTGGGTCAACTCACCCATTCACTCCATAATGTGTCTGTCTGCATTTGTTGGGTCTCAGACTAAAATGTCCTTGTGTGAGAAGGCGGACCAGGTCCCATTCCTCTTCCCTGTCATTTTCAGAGTCTTAGATTGGGGATGCAGAAGGGGTACAAGATTGGGTCTGTGAAGGGGGCGTGGCCTGTCAGGTGTGGAGGAGACTGATGCCGGAAGAGGCGGGTGCGGCCTTGCCGAGGGTGGGAAGAGGGGCTGAGGGATGTGCTGTGAAGGCTGGTGGGGAAAGTGCGAGGTAGTGCTGGGGGCACCTTACAGGTAAGCTAAGGAGGGCCTATCCCCCTGCGCGCCCCTGTTGAGGGTGCTGAAGTGGAGGGTGGGGCAGGGACGGTGATTTGGGTGTCTGGTTTACCATGCCAGACAGAGCCTCTGCACCTTGTGCCTTTACTCGCTCTGTTCCTTGGCTCCCCCTTCCCTGCACAAAAGGTCAGTCAGTGGTATGCGCATAAATACGTAGCTTGAAAAATAAATGAGACAGAGTAGATAGAAAGAAAGAAAGGTGGAAAGAAGGAGGACTTCAAGTTGGCGTTCTGGTCTGGGTGCCACTTGGCCCACATGGTCTGGTCAAGGAGCAGCCGAGGTACCCTGGCCACTGGGAGAGACAGGGCCATGTTGGGGGCAAAATCGTGGCTTTCTAGTCAGTGCCCAGTCTTTGGGGGAAGTATCAGACTGCAATAGTTTGAGCAAGGAAAATAATTTTCAGCTGCCCCACAGGTTGCTGGCATGGAAACTTACAGAACAGAAAGGGCCTGCTCCAGGGGACAGCTGGGAAAGAGGATTTGAGATACCTTATTGTTATCGTAGATGGTTCTGTTGGAATCTAGGCCAGTGGCGGCGGCGTACACCAGCAGGCCTGTGCCCCTTGGGGTGGGGGGTGACCAGGCGGGGGAGGGGGGGCTGCTAGGAGAAATCCGCCCACCACGCCAGCCTCTTTTTTCCACTGCCACTGTCTAGACTGTTGACCTTTGACCTCTCCACCCCTTGGAGTGTCTGAGCCAGAATTCCCCTTTGGGGATGCTGGGACAAAGCCCCATTCTTCACTGAGTCCCCAGCCTCCACCTGAAGACTGAGCCACTGCCAGCCTGGGGTGCTGACCATGGTTGAGGGGACAGAGGCAGGGCACCTCAGTGCCAGGTTGCCCCCAACCCTCATGGCCATGAGTCCCGTGGCTTCCATGGAGTTGGAGGAGCAAAAAAACTTTTTTTTTTTTTTGTATTCCAAATGAAACTTCCCTTCTGTAGGCATAAGTGCCTTGTAAGAGCCTGGGGCTGCCTCTGGGTGAGAAACATGATGAAGCCAGGGTCCCTCTCAGACCCTTGGCCGAGTGGCCGTTTGGGGTACGGGGCGGGGCATGTGCCGATGGTGCATCTTGAAAGTCAGCTCCTAGGTGGATCCTGAACATGCCTGTCAAGAGGCCCTGTCCTCGGGTGGTGGCAGTTGTCACAAGCTGAGTGTCCGTGGCTCTCAGCCCTTGAGGGACTTCATTCAATCTAGCCCTGAGCTGCACCCACCACTGAATATCTATTTCTCCTCCTCCTCCTCACCCAAGCCTTTCCTTCAGCTTCCCAGAGACCCACAGAAGTGCCTGCCTCTCCCATAGGAACGGGGCACTGAGAGGGGGTGCAGGACCCCATTCTCTGGGAGGGGCCCTGGCTCCTGACTGCCTGTCCGCAGGGTGGGGCCTGGGGTGAGCGACATTCCTGTCCCACACACTTGATCTCCAGGAAATCCCAGACAAAGTCGGTCTGGGGCCAGCTCTCGGCTCCCAAGGCCTGTTGATCTCCGAACCCTGGGAGGCCACACCTGTGTTGTGGGAAGCAGAGCTGACTTCCTGCCCACCCAGGGGGCACCCGGCATGTTTCTGCTGCTCCCCCAACATCTCAGGTTTCTCTATTGTCCTAAATCTCTCCAGGAAAAACCTTTCCTGCCCAAGGCGACCGTGTCTTCTGTCCCCAGCAGAGGGCCCCTGCACCTCAGAGGCCCGCTCCCTGACCCCCAGAGTTCCTGTGAGTGCCTTGTCCGAAACCCCAGGCCATAGAAGGGTCTGCCTACCGGCTTTTGCTGGGGGCTGGGCCCTGGGAGACCCCCAAACTTGACACCTCAAAAGCAAATAAATCAGTTGAAATTTGTGATTTCTTTTGTGTCTTTGTGAGAAGTTGGCACCCCTGGGGGTGACCCCTTCAGCCTGGGTGCCACAGTGGGCAGAAGGGGCCCAGAATTTCTACCCATGGCGTGTGGCATGGGGCTCGATTTGTGGCGGTTGCTGCAGGTATGCTGAAGGGACGGAGAGAGGGTCTCCGTGCTGAGTGCCCTCCCTCCTCCCAGCCCACCGCCTTTGTTCAAGGCACAGAGAGGCTGTGTAGCCTGCTCCTGGTGATGCAGCGAGGGGGGTGGGCGTCCCTGGGATCTGAGTCATAACTGTGTCACTCCCGGCATGTGTGGAATTTCCATTCACACAGCCGTGTGAGGGGGCCCTGCCCACCTTTCACAGCTGGGAAGACAGGCTCTGCCCGGTGAAGCCCTTCACCCTGAGTGTCGCAGCCAGGTCTGGAGCCGAGCATCCGGTCATTCCCCCGTGTCTGTCCTGAGCAGAAATGCAGATACTCCTGAGTCAGTGGCTTACAAAGAATAAAACTTTGAAACTGAAGAGGAGAGGGGACATTTCCTCAAAGTCTCGGGAACCCCTGGCTTCTGCACTCTGAGAGGGAGTGTCCCTGGCCAGTGATTTTGTCCCTGAGGCTCCTCTTTCCTGGGCCCTGGGATGCGGGCTGCAGTCCCAGGGGTGCCCTCTGGCTGCCGCAGTGGCTGCTGGGAGGCGCCGTGGCGTGCCTTGTGTCCTTTTCAGATGGGGATCCTTTTCCCAGTTTCTGGAAACCTGCCCCACCTCCCCTTGGCTGCTCTGCCCTGGAAAAGCCCCAGCTGAGCCCTGGGTTGCAGCCAAGAGACAAGGCCGTGTGTGTCAGGGAGTGGGTGCCCCAGTGTAGGGTGTGTGTAGGGGGCGGCACCGTGGGAGAGGTAACAGGGCTGACGGCACTGGACCTCCAGGCCTGGGGAGAGAGGTTTGTGTGTTATTTTAAGGACCACGTGACTCAGTTTCCCCATATTTGTGGAGCTTTTATAGAATTCAGTGAGGTTCTGCTTTTATAGTCCTTAATTGGGTGCCTGACAGGTAGCAGTTGCTTAATGAATATAATTGTGATTACCTCCTCCTCCAGGAAGCTCTTCTGTCTGCCCAGGTGCCTCCTCTGGCTCCCACAGTTGCCTAGGTGCCCACCCCCAAATCACATTCTGGGTAGTAACCGACCGGTTCTGTGGGAGCTGAGGTCTGCCTGGGTGCCCCCCCACCCCCTGCATCACCGTGTCTTCTGCACCCAGGGCAGCAATGGGTGAGAAGTAGGCACGCGATAAACTGTGAGAGGGAAGGGGAGGGGTGAGTGCTGACGTTCTGTGCTGCCACCCGCAAGGGATGCGGGGAGGTGCTGGAGCCTCCCAGAAGTGGGAGAGAAGCCCAGAGGGCCAGGTTCCTCCTCCAGCCACATCTCTCACCCCACCTCTTCCCCTGCATCTGGAGCCCCGGCTCCTGGGCCCTGGGCTGGGGACTCCAGGCTGCAAGTACAATGCAGAGGGCCCAGAGCCAGCTGAGGTGTCCAAGGCACTTGCCGGGAGTTCTGGGAGGGTAAGGCTTGGACAGGCTGTCCTTGGCCCCTTTCACCAGTTTCCCTCAGCTTTAGCCTGGACATTCTCAGTCTTACTGCGAGGTGAGGATCTGGGACACCAGGGTCACCCACCCCATTCCAGAGACCTGCCTGGGCCCCTTGCCCCCTCGCACACCCTGGTGGCTCCCTTTGGCCCACAGGAGGAGGCCATATGCCTCTGCTGGGTGTCTGGCCCCCACTGCTGTGTCTCTGCGGACCCCAGGCTGTCCCCGCTGCCCAGAAGCCCCTCCCCCACTCACACCTGGAGAACTGTATACCCCTCAGACCCCAAGGTTTGGGGTGTCAGCGTCAGAAACATTCAAATCCACAGAGAATTTTCGAGAGTTTATTTGAGCCAAATTGATGACAATTACCAGGAAGCAAAATCTCAATGGATTGAGAAAATGCTCCAGAAAATGGCAGTTTTGCACCTGATTTTATACATTACAATCAGAGGTGGAGGCAGAAGGGGTTCCCGGAGGTCCACTGGGGATAGATTAGGGAGGTGGGAGAGAGCAAAGCGGGGAAATCTCGGGCATTGGATAAAGAGTAAAACGACAGACTCACACTTCTTTTACACGGGTGGGTACAGGGTAGCTCACATTCAACAATTAACGTGATAACAGCAATGAGATTTGTGTCTCCTGTGTCTCCTCTGGAGTGAGGTAGTTGTGCTTTGAGGGGTGGGATGGGGGAAGGAAATTACTCTGACATCCCAAAGGCAGGTGGTTATCATCCCAGGCTGTGGCTCAGTGGCACTGGCCTGCAAAGCAAGGGGTTGCTGGTTCGATTCCCAGTCAGGGCACGTGCCTGGGTTGTGGGCCAGGTCCCCCATGGGGGTGTCCAAGAGGCCACCACACATTGTCGTTTCTCTCCCTCTCTTTCTCCCTCCCTTCCCATCTAAAAAGAAAGAAATACAATCCTTCTTTTAAAAAGGTTATTATAGATGCAAAAAGACAATAGACAGGCTCAGTTAAGGTTCTGGAGAACATTCTGACCTAGAACAGGACTCCCCACCATGACTTGCTTTCAGTGAGAAAGTTTTAATTTCAGACCATCCTATATGGGTACTTCGATTTCTGAGTTTCTGAGGTCGCCACACAGGCCTCCACTGAGCTTGTCCAGTTTCGCACGTGGCGCCTTTTCATCCACAGGGGGCGTGTTGAGTCCGACAGGCCTAGGCAGGGGTAAAGGGGCAGTACC